CAACGATAGACTGTGGGGCAGATTTATCTAAGTGTTGTGTCCTGAAAAATGGCTCAAGGTATTACAATTGGGGAGATTACTAGGGGAACATTCCTTTTTATATGTTTGTAATACTTTTTAGAACATGACTGTTTGATAAATCTTCCCTAGTGTATGGCTAGTGTAAAGCAAGACTTGGCTGTGTGAAACTGATCTACCATTTTTTATTCCACAGAATCTCCATAGACCATACTGATGGTGCGGAATCTTGCCATAACTTAGCAATCAAACACTATCAATGCACAATGTGCTCATGCAATGCATGCTTTCCTAGTCCAGTTATTTATATGGATAACGAGGAAGGGCAATTACTCATTTCAATGACAGAGGCATAGACTGAAGAGTGACGGGGCATTTAGAATTGATAATTATTTGATAAAAGCTGAAGAGGCTGCACCTATTGCCTCTTTGCACCATAAACACTGCTCTACAAATAGTGGTTAAAGGGACATTATAGTCACCAGAATCACTACAGCTTAATGTAGTGGTTATGGGGTCTATAGCCTGTCCCTGTAGGCTCAGCAATATAAATACTGCCTATTCAGAGAAAAGGTAGTATTTTTATTGCTGTCTAGTCACACCACAAGTGGCTATTCAGACAATCGCTAGATACACTTCCAGAATTAGGCCCAACAATCTTTGCAGGACCTACGTATAGCATCTTTATGCTCTGCATGGAGACCAGGAACGTTCCCCATAGAGATGCATTGATTCAATGCATCTCTATAAAGAGTTGCTGATTGGTGCAGCACAGAGTTTTGCCACTGGTGTGCTATAGCCTCCCAATGCTTTCTTATGGAAAAGCATTGGATTGGCTGAGATCATCAAGGTTGATGATCTCAGCCATGGAGGAGGGGCCAGCCACCGCAAGATGGAAAAAATGTAAGTAAAACTACATTTTAACTCCATTGTAGGGGAGGGCAGACACCCAAATAGGCAATCCAGCACTATAGTGGTAGAAACACATTTGTATTCCTAACACTGTAGTGATTCTTTAAGGTTATAGTGATTAGAGTGTTCTGGGAATAAGATTATGGCTGTTAACTCATGTTCTAAAGTGATCTTTGTGTCAAGCTGGGTGTGTGAGTTAATATATTTGACACACCAAAAACACCCTGTACAACATAAACATATGAAAGAAAAGTCTCTCAGCTGCAAAAACATATGTAAGAAATTGACAAATGTCCCCCTCTAGACAGTACAATGGAACATGCTCAATCAGGAAATAACCCTAATAGTCTCACTGTATGCAGTATCCTTATAATACGATCATTCATGGGAAACTAAAACAACCAATTGTTTTGCTTTAGATTAAGTTTTATTTAAATATATGACTCAATTGAATGTTCTCACTTTGCCAGGTTAATTAAAGGTAACGCACATGAAATAATGTCTGTGTGATGGCAGAACTGCACACATTGTTGTTGGCAAAGGACATTTATTCAAAACATTGCTTTTCTCACACAACATTTAAAAGTGTCCATAGCTTACTGGGATCTAAGGACGAATCGACCATTATAGTCAATTTCACAATGAATCTTAACTTCTAGGAATGCAGCATTATTATAATATCTCTGTTAGGATGCTTGGGATATGGAAGAAGGTTTTCTAAAGTGTATTTAAAGTCATTTTTAATGGGCATTTTAAAGTAATATCTACTATTTGTTCGAGATCACACAGTGCTCAGTAATGGTAACAATGTACAGGTTGGCCAGAATTTCTAAAGCACCATATCTTACATTATCTATACATTTCTTCCTATGGAAGGGTTTTTGGTTTGTTAATTTCCCACTTATAATATGTTCTAATGTCTTAAAGAAAGTAACACTATATGTGTATTTTTATAAATACATCTTGTGTGTGTATATATATATATATATAAATGTAATTTATATATGAGTTAATTTCTATATTAAAAAATGTATATATTTGTTTATTTTATTAAATTATAATAAACGTATGTGTGTGAAAGTAACACTATATGTGTATTTTTATAAATATATCTTGTGTGTGTATATATATGTAAGATATATATATATATAAATTTAATTTATATATAAATTAATTTATATATTTTTGAAACTTATATATATTTGTTTATTTTATTAAATTAATAATAATAAATATGTGTGTGTGTGTGTGTATATATATATATATATATATATAAATAAATATGTTTTGTGTGATCCTATGTAACTAAATAATATAAAGATGAGAAATATGCAGAATTATCATGAAAATTTACTAACCAAAACATGTATGTTTTCAGGTCATCGAAGAGATAACAGAGTTTCTAAGCCTCAGCTGAACCTAACAAAAGACCATTTTCAGATCCGCGCCGGGGACACCTACACTTTAACTTGCAAGTAAGAACCTGGCAAATATTTAGTATGTGTAGTCAGATCTGGGCACCTGTACCCAATTCTATCTTGAAAACGGTGAATATGCAATGGTGTATTATACACACTCTAGTTCAGGGATAGATTATATTAATCTACTCTAGCTGTTAACACACCCTTTTCCTCAGTATTTTGATATTGTTAAATATTAACCTCTCCCTGGCATGCTAATGTGAGTCAAGAATTGAAAGAACACATGTGAGCTACAAAGTGGGGTCTATTCACTAAATTGGTTATTGTTCATAAATAAGAAGGGGGTTTCCATTTTTAGGATACAATAACCACTGTGTAAACCACTGTGTAAACGCTACCCTAACATTACCCAACGCTACCCCAACATTTCAAACATAGCTATTGTAGATGACAATGTGAAATTCTCTTTTTACTTCTGCATATTTCCAAATTTAGCAAATACATTCTAATATTTAGGATCACCATTCAGTCTTAGTGACAAGTTCTTTTTTTTGTGTAGGAATATAGGCTTCCTTATATAAATGGACGCCAACGATTATGCTCTAAAGCAGAATTGGGGAGAATCATTACAGAAATTGTACATTTTCACTCAAAGAGCAGATAGACAGTTTTTCCAGTCGAGCTTTTTTTTGTATTTTGGTCTAAAATTTGTCATTCCTCTGTTAATTCTTCATAATTCCCACTTGAATTAATAAACCTGTTAGTAATGTCTGTGTGTGTATGGTAGTGTCACATGTTAACACGTACAGTGTACATATCACTCAGTGGCTGGAAGTGCTCTCAAGATGATCATCTCCGTTGCAGCATAAGCCTCAGGAAGGCGGCAGGCGGACAGTCTGCTTTAAGAGCCAAAAAATCTTCTTCTGGGAAGGAACAGGGAGGGGACAAGACCTGCTGGATATTGCATATGACCCCGGAGACCTTACACAGCATTCCATTTATTTGCTTGTCTAAGTGAAGGGGCTTGCTTCCTGCCTGCTATTGTCTTGGCCTCGGACACCTTTTAAGAAATGCCTCTCAGCGTGTATCGATAAGTCTTGTAATAGGATGTGTGCAATACAAGACATAACACTACCTGCGTATATTGTCAGAATTAATGAGTAACACCTGCTAGTATTATCAACAGATCACCTTAAGAAATGTCATTAAAAAAAATTAAGATAATGCCACATACATATCCATATAATACAAAAACTGTCTAGCCTATGTTATGACTTAGTTAGGAACACATTTCAACTGTTGTATTATACCAGCTGCTCCATTTTTTTAATAGCAGGACTAGGTATATTAAAAAACGACAACATACATTAATGATAAACGTATTAGAAATGACGTTTTGTGTAGAAAGGGATGCATTATGGGAATAATGGTGTTAAATGGTTATTCCAATCATCTTCTGTAGTGGTTATGATGACACTGGCCTGGATCCCTGGTTATGGAGCACATCGATTAGCAATGGTTCGTCACCATGCCTTGGTCCCCACCAGACTCAGAGAGGCTCCATGTTGGCCCGGGTATGTGCTTTCAGCTTTGGCAGAGGTGTGGATGCAGTAAGCTGTGGTTGTTGCCATTTATTGACTGAGAGTGTCAGCTGACTGCTCACAGCCAATGACTGCCCACCTGTGCACCGGAAGTTGTGCAGAATTGACATTAACCAGCCTGGAACTAGTTTTGGGCTTGACTGATGACACCCCAGTAACGTTGTCAGAGGTGGAGTTACACCTCTGGCAAGAGAGAGTTAAACTCTGTTAAACTTCATTGTGAAATGCTGCATATACAGACTCCAGGCACCATAACCACTACAAATCATTGAATTGTTCATGGTGATTTGAGTTACCTTTCAAAATTGCATCTACTGACATAAGCCTGACATCACCATCACTGGCTGCTATACTTTATATTATTTCTTATTACTATTTTCATACACAAATATGTTTTAAATAAAACAAACAGATCTTAAAAATAATAATTGTGAAGAGACAACTGAAATATGACAGACAGACAAACAAACAGAAAGATAGATAGATAGACAGACAAACAGATAGACAGACATATAGATAGATAGAGAGAGATAGAGAGACAGACAGATATACAGATAGATAGATACACTGGCGTACATACCAAGGTCGCAGGTGTCGCTGCTCACTCCAGGGGGCCCGGCCGCCCTGCGGACCCCTGCAATGGGGTAACCGCCGCCATGTTTTGCGGCCATGGCCCGTGCGGCAATCCCCGGGGCCACACATGAAGGGGCCCATCGGGTGGGCCATGCTGTTAGGGCCACCCGATGAATATGGATTTTCAGGGGGCCCGGTCAGCGCTGCAGCACTTTAACAGCACGACCGGGCCCCCTGTGATGACATCAAACAGAGCTGGGAGGAAGTGACTGCCCCGGTCACTCCTCCCAGCTATCAGAAAGCTGCGCCAGAGGAAGGAGAGGAACTCCCATAAGGCTGAGCCCCCACTGGACCTCAGGGAAAGTCACCCTCCTGCAAAAGGTAGGAAACAGGAGGATGACTTAAACATTTTGTATATGTCTGTGTTTGTATGTGTGTGTCTGTCTGTGTGTATGTGTGTGTCTGTATGTGTGTATGTGTCTGTGTGTGTGTCTCTGTATGTATGTGTCTGTATCATACAGAGACATACATACAGAGACACACACACACACAGACACATAATACAGAGACACACACACATACAGACACATACATACAGAGACACACACATACAGACACATATATACACACTGTATGTATGGGTGTGTGTGTCTGTATGTGTGTGTCTGTATGTGTGTGTGGGTCTGTATGTATGTGTCTGTGTTTATGTGTCTGTGTGTGTATGTATGTGTCTGTGTGTATGTCTGTTGGGGGTGTGTGCTTCTGTCTGTATGTATCTGTGTCTGTATGCATGTGTTTCTGTATGTATGTGTCTGTGTGTCATGTCGGGGGGTATATGTGTGTGTGTGTGTGTCTGTATGTATCTGTTTGTCTGTATGAATGTATGTGTGTGTCTGTGTGTATGTGTCTCTGTATGTGTGTGTGTGTATGTGTGTGTGTATCTGTATGAATGTGTCTTGGAGGGGCACGGATCGGGGGGCACACAGATCAGTTTCGCACTGGGGCCCCATGGATTGTGTGTATGCTACTGGATAGATATATAGATAGATATAGATAGACAGACAGATAGACAGATACAGAGTTACAGTTTCAGCTGCATTGAAATGGCACTTTTTATTGCTGGGAGTGTAGGTCTGCTTGAGATTAGTACCCCAGAATGCACAGACATTCTGCAAATAAAACCATGAACTAATAATTTAAAATATAAATTACTATTATTATTTATTATTATTATTATTTTTATTATAATTTTACAGAGGAGTTGCTCCACTAAGCTGGCTTTGGCAGCAGAAGCCATTTTCATTGAACAGCAGATTTCACGTATGGGAGCAGCAATGTAGAGGACCTGATGAAGGGCATCTCACTTGCAGTCATCTTACAATCACAGATGCAAAGGCCAATGACACCGGCAGCATAACATGTACCAATATTATACTCAACAGCAATGCAAAGAATCAGGTCAAGATCTATATGTATGTCAAAGGTAAGCTTGCTTTCAATACAACTTTCAATTCGAGTAGCTTGTCGAATTATTCGGAAATAATCAAAATGTTGTTGTTGATCCCTTTTTTTAAAAAGAGCAATACAGAGTATTTAGAAACTACGAAAAGATCAGTCTTTAGGCTTTAGATGTACTAATTTAGAGATCTATTTTCCAACATGGATATTTGATTTAAGACGCGGCATTTCATCGTCAAGTAAGACATAGGTTAAAAAGAAATGCATGCAAATGCAGGTCTACTGAAACATCAATTTGAAATATTCAGACAAGTAAGATTCCATAGATTGTCACAATGTATCTATCCACTGAATTCATCTTCCGTACTTCTGGTCATTCAGTTCAGCCTAGATTACTGTATAGATTATAAAATATAGCCAGTATACTCAGAGTTAGTATCATGGGAAACATTCAGAAACATCTGCAGTACCAATGCTATGCTTCACTGTTCTAGTGGTGCACCAAGAGTAATAAAGAAACGTCTAAAGATCATTCACAGACTCGAGACTGCAGGGAGAATATTCTGTTTCAGTGCGATTTCCCTTGTCATACAAAACAATAGGAAAGGATCTGTCACCACGTACTCTTCCCTACTTGATCTGTGACCCATGCTCACTGTTCATACACTTTGAAGAACCAATGAAGTGATGCAACCAGAGTCCTCTTCAAGATATCACAGACAGATAGTCTTTACAGCTGGAGATGTCTACAAATGTATTCTATAACTCAAAATAGAAAGGTATATGCAAACAGAGGAGAATAATTATGAAAAGTATTCTCCTGCTTCAACTGCAGAGAATTTAAGCAGCAAACACTGATATTATTAATTAATTCACTGAAAATATTTTATACATGCATTTTTATATTCAATATATCCACTAAACTGTGAATTGTGGGGAACTGACAAGGGAACTGCAAATCTTTTTGTAAAATGGCCAAATTAGAATGTTATCTCTCAGTCAGTTTAATATTTTCCAATTCAGCTGTTTGGGTAACATTTTTTGTTTTCCTTGTTATTTGTCTACAAATGAAGTGTATCAGGTTATTTACTACAGTGAGAATTGTCCCTTCCATTAAAGAAGTGTTAACCTTAGTTTTTGAAAAACAAATGTATGAGGTAGCTCTCAGACAGCCATCCCCAATTGTTGATCAACTTATTTATCCTCTGTGACTTGTTACTTGGAATTAACTATTATAATATAATAATTGTCATGTCAAAATAATATCTTCTTCATTAATGTATTCAATTCATTGATTGCATATGGTATAATCGAAAGCATAACTCTTAAATAAGATTATGTACTATAGGATGGATACCCTATTCCTTGTTTCCCCCTTCCCTTGTTTATTTATTATTGTTAATTTGGTTTTTATAAAAATGTTTGAAAATTCTTTAATAAAAACAAATTTTGAAAAAAATTGTTGGGAATTCAAAGTGAATTCAAATAAAGTTTCACATTTACACCAACTGAAGTTGATTAGGAAACATAGTTGACTTGAATAATGTTTCTATTTGAACTATTTTGGCTTTCAGTTTAGATGTAAACTAATAAGGTATTGACGTTTCTTGTAATGCATTTCTTATTGGCGTTTGTGAGCTCCTTCCTTTATCAAGTCTAAAGCATTTACGTGTCATTATTTTGCGCCTACACTTTTGACTAATACGGCAACTCAAATATCATGACAGGGCTTAAATTCGAAATTTACTTTCAATTCAGTTTAAATTCTCCAACATGTCTCACTTTAGGAAATAATTCTGTAAAAGTCCACTCTGATTTACAAGGCATCTTAACTAAAGCAAAATCTATTTGCATGGAAGCTCCAGCTACAAAGTTATTTTTGTCATTTATTATTTGCAGTTTACAGGACTGTTTATTAAAAGAGTAGACAAGTTTTAAGCATGTTTACATCAAATCATTATGTATGGAGACAATGATGCAAAATTGTCTTTGGATGTGGACCTTCTGTTAATATCGGCATCCCAAAAATAGTCCATGCTGTCATCGTGGATAGGGAGTCAGATGGCTTAATTGAAAACGTGTTTACATTTTAACCTATAGACTGTAAGTTCGTTTGAGCATGGTCCTCTTCAACCTATCGTTTCTGTAAGTTATCTTGCAATTGTCTTATTTATAGTTACACACCCCCTCTTATACTATTGTAAAATGCTATGGAATCTGTTGGCGCTTTATAAATGGCAATAATAATAATAATAACTTTAAGAGTTAACTAATTACTGAATGATATCTGTGCTAATTGGCTTGTGATTAAGAGATCAACTTCCCTGCACACTGGTTTGTACGCAAAAATCTGATGACTGAGAAAGAATAGGGTCCAAGACCAGGGAAACATCAGTCGGGTAACTTAAACAGAGCAATGAGCACTTGAATTCAGTTTATTTCCTCTCACAGTTTCCTTCCAAGATATTTGCACAATAGAAATGCATGATTTATACAAGCCCAGTGTGATTGAGTGTATAAGGAAAAGAAATATCGTTTAACTATTCTTATGGACAATCAGCAAATCAAAGATAGAGACATTTATCTGGACACCTTTGATAAAATTAGTATACTTGGATCCACCTAAAGCAAAGTTATTGTGTTACTCTTACCACTTGCATACACGAATCATTGCCTAAAACTTGTGATCCTCTTCATTTTCCACCCTTAGGGCAAAAGCGAATGGATATGTTTTTTTCAGTCGTACAACAGAATATGTACGATTATGTAAAAACTTAATTCAGCTGATACAATATACAATCACAGAACTACAGAAGAATTAGATTAGGGGAAAATGAGCAATACTAATTTCAGGCAATGCTTATATTCATCATTTAAGAGGGTCAATTTCAGCACAAAAGACATTAATTTATTTAGATATGTTATTTTACAAATTAAATAAATCAGACATTAAATAGATCAATATTATATATCGGCACATTATTCTATATAGCAAAACATCTCTGGATGAAGAATATCTGACTGCAAACATCCAATTACATAACAATGGTTAATACCTGAAAGCCCCTCTCAGTAGAAGGAAAGGAAAACTAAAAATGAGATGGTTATGTTGAAGGACAGATACATACGTTTTGCTAGCAAGAACAATCACCCGACAGTATAACACAATTGGTTATATTGTAACTTATTTATTGTAACTTAGTTATTGTAACCAATTCTTTTTTTTTTAAATGTTCTCAATGGAGAATTGTATCTTAATCAAGTCTGTGTTATATTTCATTTAGATGACAATCAGCCTTTTCTAGAGATGAACACATTTTTACCAGGTCATGCACCTAAAATTGAAGAAAACATATTACTTATCCCCTGCCGCGTAAGCTCTCCTGACTACAAAGTCATCTTGCAGACGGTAAGTGGAAGAATTTAACTTTTGGTTGACAGACTTAACCCATAATCAATTCAAATCAACCCATAAAATATATATAAAAAAAAAACATAATGATCTTGACTTATTTATTTATGAAATATTATACCAGTAAGGATTTCTTTAGATTAATTTATTGCTTCGATAGTCATTAAGTTGCTCAGAACACTAACTGGGTATATGTAGCGTATACTATTTAAAGATTAAAATACAGCTACAATACATAACACAATATGTGTTTTACATACAATATTAGATTTGCTTTCTCCAAAGAATTAATTTTATTTCCTCTAGTGCAGGAAACTGAACCAGATATCCTCCCATTAAATCATGACACAATTTCTCCAAGTTTTTGCAAACAATGGTCAATGGTCTGCATACATTTTAATGAATTGAAAAAAATAATTAAAAAAGCACTTTTTAAAATCTTTCTCAGAATAGAATTTACTTCTGTTTAGAACTAATTAAACATATTTTTCTTTCATAGCTGCATACAGTATGGCATTACCACACTAAATGTTTTTACAATCTATGTAATTTATGATATCCTGTACTATGTAATCAACAAATTTTAGGGATTAGAACCTTTATAAAACATGAATCATCCTGAGATATGTTGCTAGAATTTACAACAGTTGCAAACATCTAGGTATTATAGTACTACTGCAGGAACATAGCAAT